AACTTTGGCAAATTTGAAATAGTATTCAGAAGAATCACCTGCTTAATTCAGATAGATTCTTTTCTGTTCATGTAAAACCAAAGAGGTGAATTAACTATCACTTTATTTTGCCTTTATTGTAATAACATTCCTTACGGTAATTTAAAATAGGCACTTGTTTTTAAAGAGCAAGTGTCAATTTTAAACAAACACATTTTAAATTTTTAAATTTTATTTATTTTTAATTAATATATAGTGTATTATTTGCTTCAGGGGTATAGGTCTGTGAATCATCAGTCTTACACAATCCATAGCACTCACCATACATAGCACATATCCCCACCAGTGACCATAACCCAGCCACCCTATCTCCCCCCAATCCCTCACCTAGTAACCCTCAATTTGTTTTCTGAGATTAAGAGTCTCTTATAGTTTGTATCCCTCCCAGTCCCATCTTGTTTCATTTTTTCCCTCCTTGCCCTCCACGACCCCCCACCCTGCCTCTCAAATTCCTCATATCAGAGAAATCATACGATAATTGTCTTTCTCTGATTGACCTACTTCACTTAGCATAATACCCTCTAGTTCCATCCATGTCATTGCAGATAGTAAGATTTCAGGGTTTATGATGGCTGCATAGTATTCCAGTGTGTGTGTGTGTGTGTGTGTGTGTGTGTGTGTGTGTGTGTACACACACCACATCTTCTTTATCCATTTATCCATTGATGGACATCAAGGTTCTTTCCATAGTTTGGCTATTGTGGATATTGCTGATGTAAACATTCAGGTGCACGTGCCCCTTCAGATCACTACATTTGTATCTTTAGAGTAAATACCCAGTAGTGCAATTCCTGGATCATAGGTAGCTCTGTTTTCAACTTTTTGAGGAACCTCCATACTGTTTTCCAGAGTGGCTGCACCAGCTTGCATTCCCACCAACAGTGTAGGAGGGTTCCCCTTTCTCTGCATCCATGCCAACATTTCACATTTTAAATTTAATTGTGTTGAAAGTCAAAGTATAATTTAAGTAATTGAAGTGTGATTTGTAGGAGGAGTGTTTTCATTATTAGAATCGTCTCTGGTTGTACTTGGATTGATCATTTTCTACTATTACTGTCTCAGTTTTGCATCAGTCTTCATTTTTAAAGTTTACCTAAAAGAAATCATCGTAATCTCTTCATTGCATCAATTTGTATGACATATCTTTTTAGAATTTTTTTTTCTTCTTTGGTGTAGAAAATATATACAGGTATTGATGTGTGCATGTGATTGGCAGAATTAAGTATCTTTATTATAATTCTTACTACAGAATATACCCTGTTATGCTGTTCATTTAATAAAGCTTAAGAACTTTTCAACTTTTTGTTGAAATCTAACATATGCATAGAAAAGTACATACAGGTATCATGAGTATAGAGCTATATGAGTTTTTTAAAAAATATTTTATTTATTTATTTGACAAAGAGAAAGACCAGGAAAGGGAGAAGCAGATTCCTTGTTGAGCAAGGAGCCTGATTCAGGACTTCAGGACCCTGGGATCATGACCTGAGCTGTAGACAGGTGCTTACCTGACTGGGCCACCCAGGCACTCCATGCTATATGAGTTTTTAAAAACTGGGTGTTCCTGGGTAATCAGCATCTGGGTTGAGAAATTGAACATTACCAGCATCCTCTAACCCCTTTATGTTCTCTGTCACTGCTTCATGTTCTCTGTCACTGCCTGTAAGAGTAACAAGTATCCTTATTCCTAATCCCATACATGTTTTGCCTATTTTTGTTCTTTATGTAACCATTTAAATATAATACCTACTCTTCTGAGCTTGACTCTTTCAGAATAAGATGCTGTTAATATTTCTCCATGTCTGTATAGGTAAGGAATAATAACTACATATAATTTGGTCAGAGATCCTTTTAAAATTTTAACTAAAATTTGAAATTGGATACTGAATGATAGACTCAATTATAAGTTACCAATAATAAATATACATACATATTTATTGGAGGGATAATATATTTTAATTCATTATCGAATATACAGAAGCAGTAGTTTTTTTCTTTTAAGAAATAAAGCATGATCTTTTTAGTTTCTTGAGGAAAAGCAAAAAGGGATGTTGGTGTCTGTAATTACTAAAATTAGAACTCAGATGAAATTTGCTGTGCATGCACACAAAACAGACAATCATGTAAAAAAAATGGGCAGAAGATATGAACAGACACTTCTCCAAAGAAGACATACAAATGGCTATCAGACACATGAAAAAATGTTCATCATCACTAGCCATCAGGGAGATTCAAATTAAAACCACATTGAGATACCACCTTACACCACTTAGAATGGCCAAAATTAGCAAGACAGGAAACGACATGTGTTGGAGGGGATGTGGAGAAAGGGGAACCCTCTTACACTGTTGGTGGGAATGCAAGTTGGTACAGGCACTTTGGAGAACAGTGTGGAGATTCCTCAAGAAATTAAAAATAGAGCTTCCCTATGACCCTGCAATTGCACTACTGGGTATTTACCCCAAAGATACAGATGTAGTGAAAAGAAGGGCCATATGTACCCCAATGTTTATAGCAGCAATGGCCACGGTCGCCAAACTGTGGAAAGAACCAAGATGCCCTTCAATGGACGAATGGATAAGGAAGATGTGGTCCATATACACTATGGAGTATTATGCCTCCATCAGAAAGGATGAATACCCAACTTTTGTAGCAACACGGACAGGACTGGAAGAGATTATGCTGAGTGAAATAAGTCAAGTAGAGAGAATCAATTATCATATGGTTTCACTTATTTGTGGAGCATAACAAATAGTATGGAGGACAAGGGGAGTTAGAGAGGAGAAGGGAGTTGAGGGAAATTGGAAGGGGAGGTGAACCATGAGAGACTATGGACTCTGAAAAACAATCTGAGGGTTTTGAAGGGGGGTGGGTGGGAAGTTGGGGGAACCAGGTGGTGGGTATTGGAGAGGGCACTGATTGCATGGAGCACTGGGTGTGGTGCAAAAACAGTGAATACTGTTAGGCTGAAAATAAATTAAAAAAATTAAAAAAAAAGAGGCTATACAAAGAGTAAAATTAAAAACTAAAGGGAGGAAGTAAAAAAATAGAAAAAAATTTACTGTGCATGAAAAAGAGGTCATCTATTTTATTTTCATGCTTTTAACCCTGTATCACTATAGAAGATTATCAAGCCTTACTTTAAAAAACTCCAGAAAGAGTGATTTAGCAGCTTCTTTGGTAATGTGTTTTGCTATGGGGATTTCCCTGAAGTTTTCAAGTTGATGGTACCAAGACAGAAAAAAGGAAAACTATGTGTGTGAGATAGAGTCAGTGACAATTTAATTCTTTAGCATTTAATCTGAGACAATTTTTTTTCATGTCACTTCAGGTCAGGTATTTCTTTGTTTTCTTTTGAACTTGAGAGCAATCAGTTACATTCCCTCTTTTCTGTAGTAAAGTTTTCTCTCTAAAAAAACAGAGCAATCATGTGTCAAATCTTAATACCTTCTGGTACTTCTTTCGAAATCTTTTCATTTTGATCAGTTAATCTTATTTTCATTGGCATCAAGCTTTCTGGTTCTGATTCTATTCTAGTTCCATTGTATTCTATTGTTAAATTGTTTTTTCTCTGATTTCTTCATTGGCTTCTTTTTATTTCCATTAATACTGAGCATCATCCAAAGTTCTCTTTTAGGTTTCTGGCTCCATTTTTTTCTCAGTAACTCTTAATACATATTAGATATGTTTATTTGCATGAATCTTTATATAAAATGTATCTGAACTTGACATCTTTCTTTTTCTATTTCTCTCATGTATTTTTACCTATTTATTTAGATATGCCTGCATCTTTTAAATATGTCACACATCATTTCTATTTTTCTGGTCTTCCCAGTCCCCCCTACTTATTTCTTTGCCACTGTGGACAACATCATGTTCTTCACAGAATGTAAGAGTCTTTATCTGAGTATCATTATTGGCTCAGTGTTTAATTTCTTGCTGTTAATGACATTAATACCAGAGGATTACTGTTATTTCCTATAGTAGTTCTGCTTTATTAATATATATGGTTTTATCTAAATGATTTCCTTACATAAATATATATTGATTATCATTATTGCTAAGATATAATCACTAGAATTCAAAATAAAGGAGAAATGGTTCATTCCTCTTTTATCTCCTAGTAAATATTGCCATTTTCTTCCCCAGGAGCTGCCACATTACACATTTCCCTTCTGAAATGCCTCAAAAAAAAAAAAAAAAAAAAATTAAAACAGTCTCCTCCTAAAATCCTTTCCTTCCTGTGTTTTGGTTTCAGTTTTTTTTTTTTTTTTAAAGATTTTGTTTATTTATTTGACAGAGAGAGATCACAAGCAGGCAGAGAGGCAGGCAGAGAGAGAGAGGAGGAAGCAGGCTCCCCACTGAGCAGAGAGCCCGATGCGGGGCTCCATCCCAGTACCCTGGGATCATGACCTGAGCCGAAGGCAGAGGCTTTAACCCACTGAGCCACCCAGGTGCCCCTTGGTTTCAGTTTTTATATGTGAATGATACAACAACATTTGAAGTGTATTTAACCATATAAATTAAAATCTTTCATTATGGGGCACCTGGGTAGCTCAGTTCATTAAGATCTCCTTTCTGCTCAGGTCATGATCTTGGGATCCTGGGATCAAGCCCCTCATCGGGCTCCCTGCTCACTGGGGAGTCTGCTTCTTTCTCTGCCTATGCCCCTTCCCCTGCTCATGTGTCTCTCTCTCTCTCTCCCTCCACAACTATCTCTCTCAAATAAATAAATAAAATCTTTAAAAAACCAAAATCTTTCATTATATAAACTGTATTTTTTTTCTGATTGAACGTTTTACTTCGGCAAGGTTAATTTTTTCCCCATAGTTTTAATACTATAAAACTTGATTGGTATTGAAGCACAAAATTATTTGAACTTGATTTTTTTTCCTCTGTATTTTCATTGAAGAAAGATTTTTCTCCTCGAGAATTAAGAGCTGTAATTTTTTTCACCTCAGATTCTCCTGAGAATGATATTCCTATGGAGATCACAACAGCAGAACCACAAGTTTCTGAAGCAGTATATGATTGTGTTATTTGTGGTCAGAGCGGCCCCTCCTCTGAAGACCGACCTACAGGATTGGTTGTACTGTTACAAGCATCCTCAGGTAAAAACAAAGTAATTTTTCAGTGGATTATCTTAGAGCCTAAGTGTATACAACATGTTAATAAATATCTGTATTAATTGAAAGTTATATCTTCGTCTTGATATAACTATAGATCTATATAGCAGGGATCAATTTAGATCTGTTAGCAAGGATTTTAAATTTGGTTTTCTCTGACTTTCCTGGGTATGAGTGTTGGAAGAAGCCCTTTACAGAGAAGTCTCTCTATATGTTATACAGTCTTTTTCCTTAAACTGTTATGGTATATTACCTATCCTAGAGAGCCTGAATGGAGTTCAGCTTTCTTGACAATTTAATTGTTTTAAAGTTGGGGTGCATTTTAAGCCCAGAAATATTGTCAGTTAAGTATTTTAACTACATAAGGCACATTCAGGTAGTTTTGCATTTATTTCTTGAGCTAGTAGAAGCAGTAATTCTTGAAACAGCTTGCTGAATATCTTTGCCAATATGTAATTAAAAAAATTTTTAAAATTTATTTTAGAGCATGCACGTGGGTCGTCGGGGGAGGGGCAGAGGGAGAAGCAGAGACTCTCAAGCAGATTCTGCACTGAGCAGGGAGCCTGACATGGGGCTCCATCTCATGAGTGAGATCATGACCTGAACTGAAATCAAGAGTCAGACATTTAACAGAGCTACCCACGTGTCCCTAAAATTTTTTTGAAAAATAATTTTGAAGGATTTGTCTGAATGCTCTCTATCCTTTCCCATGCTAAAGTATTTTAAGGTGTGATAACTCTTACACACTCTAGTCCTAATGTATCGAATCCATTTTTGACAGGAGTTTGTGTGAAGCAAAGAGAAAATAAAATTCTTTGACCTTGCTTCTGAGCATTTTTTCCTAGGGTGTTTATTCTCTAAATTAGTATAGTAAAGTGGAAAGAGATATGACACTCCCCTGAGTTCAAATGCAAGTATTGCTTGATGTAATCTGGCTAAGTTTGTTGCTTTCTTTTAACTGGAGACAATGTTGACTTCAGAGAATTGTTTGGTTAAGTAATGTAATATAGGCAAAAGGATCTAATGGGGTGCTGGTAATTTAGTTTATCCTCTTCTTTCTTTTCTTGCTTAAAAACAAAATTCCTTTGGAAAATCCCAGTTGAATAGGACATTGGAGTAGAGCTGTCAAGACCAGAAAGGCCTACTAAAAAGGAAATGTATGGGGTACCTGGGTGGCTCAGTGGGTTAAGTATCTTGATTTTGGCTCAGGTCATGATCTCAGGGTCATGAGATGAAGCCCTGTGCTCAGCGGGGAGTCTGCCTCCCCCATCTCCCTCTACCCTCCCCCTGCCCCTGGGCCCATGCATGCTCTCTGTCTCTCTCTCTAATAAATAAGTAAATCTTATTTATTTATTAAAAAAAAAAAGATTTTTATTTATTTATTTATTTGACAGAGATCACAAGTAGGCAGAGAGGCAGGCAGAGAGAGAGGGGAAAGCAGGCTCCCCGCTGAGCAGAGAGCCCGATGCGGGGCTCGATCCCAGGATTCTGGGATCATGACCTGAGCCGAAGGCAGAGGCTTTAACCCACTGAGCCACCCAGGCGCCCCTAAATAAGTAAATCTTTAAAAAAAATAAGGAAATGTCTGAGAGTATTGGCTAGTTTTGTAGCTATTTCTGTTTTCTACTGCTGTGACAAAACTAGCCTATTAGATTATTGCCACTTAACTTCTTATAACTTTTTCACCAAAACTTCATAATCATAAATGTTTTCTTTATTCCTTTATTCATTCATCCCACAAATATTTATTGGGAACCTAGGTGCCAGATACTGTCATAGTATAAAACAAAGCAAAACAGAATCTCTGCCCTAATGAAGGCAGAGATTTTGTTTTTGTTGTTTTAATCTTTATTTGTTTATTATTTTATATTTTTAAAATTGCTTTGACCAAATTGTCACTTCATTTAATTCTTTTTTACAATTTTGTACACTAGCTAAACTTATTAATACTGGATCATTCCACTATATTGTAGCTCTTTTTTATAGATAGAAGGAAATGAATAAGAAACTAACATGAAAAAGCATTAGATCTCTAAAGAGTGACTTTAATTGGGAACTGTAGCAGGTGAAGTCTCTGGCTGTTTCCTAACTTTCTGAGCCTCACACACCTACTGACATCTTGCATTTTACCACTCTCTACTTTTTTCCTTACTTCTGACCTCTATTTTAATCTGTCCCTTCTCTTTTTATTTTATCTTTTTAAGTTTTAATATGGAATGTTTTATTTAATTTTTTGTTTCAAGTGTTTATTTAAATTCTAGTTAGTTAACATATAGTGCAATATTAGTTTAAGGATAGAATTGAATGATTCATCACTTACATATAAAATCCAGTGCTCATCGAAACAAGTGCCCATCATTCATTTAGCCCTCTTCCCCCCATCTCCCCTCCACCAACTCTGTTTGTTCTCCATAGTTGAGAGTGTCTTAGGATTTGCCTCTCTTTTTCCCCCCTCCTCCTATGTTCATCTGTTTTGTCTCTTAAATTCCACATATAAGGGGCGCCTGGGTGGTTCAGTGGGTTAAGGCCTCTGCCTTCGGCTCAGGTCATGATCCCAGGGTCCTAGGATCGAGCCCTGCATTGGGCTCTCTGCTCAGCAGGGAGCCTGCTTCCCCCATCCCCTCTCTGCCTACTTGTGATCTCTGTCTGTCAAATAAATAAATAAAATCTTAAAAAAAAATTCCACATATAAGTGAAATCAAGTATTTGTCTTTCTCTGACTAACCTGTTTCCCTTAACATAATAAACACTTAACTCCATCCACCTTGTTGCAAATGGCAAGATTTCATTCTTTTTGAAGGCTGAGTAATATTCTATTGTGTGATATATCACACACACACACACACACACACACACACACACGCACACATGCACACACACATACCACATGTTCTTTATCCATTCATCAGACATTTGGGCTCTTTCCATAATTTGGCTATTATTGATAATGCTGCTATAAACATGTGTCCCTTTAAATTAGTATTTTTGTATGCTTTGAGTAAATACCTGGTAGTGCAATTCCTGAGTCATAGGGTAGTTCTATTTTTGACTTTTTGAGGACCCACCATACTGTTTTCCAGAGTGGCTGCACCAGCTTGCATTCCTACCAACGGTGTAAGAAGGTTCCCCTTTCTCCGCATCCTTACCAACACCTGTTGTTTCCTGTGCTGTTTGTTTTTGCCGTTCTCACAGTGCGAGGTGATATCTCTATATCTGTAGTTCTAATTTGCATTTCCCTGATGATGACTGATGTTCGGCATCCTATCATGTGTCTGTTGGCCATCTGTATATATACCTTCTTTGGGAAAATGTCTCTTCATGTCTTCTTCCTATTTCTTAACTGGATTATTTGTTTTTTGAGTGTTGAGTTTGATAAGTGCTTTACAGATTTTAGATACTAACCCTTTATCAGATGTGATTTGCACATAACTTTCCCTATTCCATCAGTTTCCTTTTAGTTTTGTTGCGTGTTTCCTTTGCTGTGCAGGAGCTTTTTATTTTGACATAGTCCCAATAACTCATTTTTACTTTTTTTCCCTTGCCATAGGTTATGTGTCTAGTAAGAAGTTGCTACAGCTGATGTTGAAGAGGTTACTGCCAGGGTTTTTCTCTAGGATTTTTATGGTTTCAGGTCTCATATTTAGGTCTTTAATCCATTTTGAATTTATTTTTATGGATGGTGTAAGAAAGTGGTCCAGTTTCATTTTTTTGCATGTTGCTGTCCAGTTTTCCCAACACCATTTGTTGAAGAGACTGTCTTTTTTTACATTGGATGTTCTTTCCTGCTTTGTCAAAGATTAGTTGACCACATAGTTATGGGTCTATTTCTGGGCTTTCTATTTTGTTCTGTTTATCTATGTGTCTGTTTTTGTGCCAGTATCATACTGTTTTGATGGCTATAGCTTTGTAATAGAGCTTGACATCCAGAATTGTGGTGCCTCCAACTTTGCTTTTCTTTTTCAAGATTGCTTTGGCTGTTTGGGGTCTTTTGTGGTTCCATACATGGTTTAGGATTATTTGTTATAGCTCTGTGAAAAATGTTGTTGGTATTTTGATCAGGATTGTATTAAATATGTAGACTGCTTTGGATAGTATAGACATTTTAATAATATTTATTCTTCCAATCCGTGAGCATGGAATTTTTTTTCATTTCTTTGTGTCCTCTTCAATTTCTTTTATAAGTGTTCTATTATTTTCAGAGTACAGATCTTATACCTCTTTAGTTAGGTTTATTCCTGGTTATGGAATGGTTTTTGGAGCAGTAATAATGGGATCGCTTCCTTGATTTCTCTTTCTGCTGCTTTATTATTTGTGTACACAAATGAAACAGATTTCGTTACGTTGATTTTTTTATCCTGTGACTTTGCTAAATTCTTGTATCAGTTTTAGCAATTTTTTGGTGGAGTCTTTGGGGTTTTCTACCTAGAGTATCATGTCTTTTGCCAATAGTGAAAGTCTGATTTCTTCCCTGCATATTTGGATGCCTCTTATTTCTGTTTCTTGTCTTATTGCTGAGGCTAGGACTTCCAGTACTATGTTAAATAACAGTGGGGAAAGTGGATGTTACTGTTTTGTTCCTGACTGTAGAGGAAAAGCTCTCAGTTTTTCCCCATTGAGGATGGTATTAGCTTTGGCTTTTTTGTATATGGCCATTATGAAGTTGAGGTATGTTCCCTCTATCCCTATTTAGTTGAAGTTTTTATCAAGAATGGTTGCTGTATTTTGTCAGGTGCTTTTTCTGCATCTGTTGAGAGAATCATATGGTTATCCTTTCTTTTACTAATGCGGTGTTTCACGTTGACCGTTTCGTGGATGTTGAACCACTCTGCATTCCCTGCAGCCCAGAAGTAAATCTCACTTGATCATGATGTATATGAATATGGAACATTTTAACCACATAATGGAGTAAAGAGACTAGTGAAATGTACTTCCATGTCTCCATCAATCTTCAATAGTAATTAACTTGAGCTAATCTTATTTATCTT